AAGGGTGGCGCCGGCCACAATCAAGAGCGCCAATGCTGTGGCTGCTGATGCGGCAGAGAAGGCTGTGGCTGTGGAGGTTGAGCCGGTCGAGCTGGTGGCTGCTGATGTGGAGAAGGCTGCAAAGGTGACGCCGGCGCCTGATGCTGCCTTTGCGGCTGTGGAGCAACTGGCGGCTGCTGATGCAGAGAAGGCTACAAAGGTGACGCCGGCGCCTGATGCTGCTTTTGCAGAGAAGGCTCCGGCTGCGGAGGAGCTGGCGGCTGCAATGGTCCTGGTGACGCCGGCGCCTGCTGCCGCTTTTGCAGAGAAGGTTGCGCCTGCGGAGCTGGCGGCTGCTGATGCAAAGAAGGCTGTGACGCCGGCGCCTGATGCTGCTTTTGCAGAGAAGGCTGCGGATGTGGAGAAGGCTGCAGAGGTGACGCCTGCTTTTGCAGAGAAGGCTGCAGCTGCGGAGGAGCTGGCGGCTACTGATGCGGAGAAGGCTGCAAAGGTGACACCTTTTGCAGAGAAGGCGGAGAAGGCTGCAAAGGTGGCGCCGGCCAAGGCTGTGGATGCTGCGTTTGCAGAGAAGGCTGCGCCTGCGGAGGAGCTGGCGGCTGCTGATGCGAAGAAGGCTGTGATGCCGGCGCCTGATGCTGCTTTTGCAGAGAAGGCTGCGCCTGGGGAGGAGCTGGCGGCTGCTGATGTGGAGAAGGCTGCAGAGGTGACGCCTGCTTTTGCAGAGAAGGCTGCAGCGGAGGAGCTGGCGGCTACTGATGCGGAGAAGGCTGCAAAGGTGACGCCGGCCAAGGCTGTGGATGCTGCATTTGCAGAGAAGGCTGCGGGCGTGGTAGTTGAGAAGAAAGTTGAGCCGGCCCATTCTGCTGCAAAGCTGGCGCCAGCCCCAGCCACAGTTCAGTCTGCTGATGCCGGGGCGGCTGCGGTTCTTGACAAGAGGGTGGCGGAGGCTGATGCTGCCTTGAAAGAGAAGCTTGCGGTTATTGAGAACAAGGTTGAGCTGGCCTCGTCTTCTGACGCAGAGAAGGCGCCGGCCCTGGCCAAGGCCGCAGCTGCAAAGACCCAAGCTGCAACTGCAACCTCTCGCAACGCAGAGGTTGTCAATGCTGAGACGGAGAAGCCTGCGGTCGAGCCGGCCCAAAGCCATGCTGGGGCGGCTGCGGCGCCGGCCAAGGTGGCTGCCACTGCCGAGTCTGACTCTGCGCAGTCAGAGCTGCTTCAGCTCACCAAGACCGAGGGAGACAACCTCGAGACGCTTCTGGAGGAGGCTATGGATGCAGAGGTAGACGCAGCGGCAGATGCAGAGGCAGAGGCAGAGGCTGCGCAGCGTGGCAGGGGCGGCAAGGGCAAAGGCAAGGACAAGGGGGCAAGGAAAGGTCAGGGCCGAGGCCGAGGCCAAGGACGAAGTGTTCGTGGCCAGCCGCTTGTGCAGGTGGAGCGTTGGGCAAAGCCAAAGCCACAGCCAAAACGCAATCAGTCGCGGCTGAGGTTTGGCTAGTTTTTTTCAGAGCCACGCAGGCTTGAGCTTGATTTGTTTGCTTGATTTTTTGGACTTGTGTATATAGAATGTTTTTAGTTTACAGGTTGCTTGAAGAAGTGCGACGCCTAAAGAACTCGGGCTGCGCTCAGCAAACCAGCGTTCGATTCCGGTGAGCGCAAAACAAGACGGAAGTAGGAAGAGGCTATCGTGGCCGGAGAAGCGCTGCGCTCAGCGATTCCGGTAAGCGCAAAACAAGACGGAAGTAGGAAGAGGCTATCGTGGCCTGAGAGGCGCTTGGCGTCCGGTCTCTGGCTGCAAATCCTGTTTATCTCCTCCAGTCCTACATGATGTTGGAATCCTGAAATCCTGATAGGGTTGGTGGTGACGGGCCACTGGTGGAGCTGTTTAAAGTTGCCAGCGCCGTGTCTTTTTCCAAACATGCCCATAGTGCCAGACGCAGTTTGGAACTCAGAGTTCCTGGCACCTGGAAACTTATAATCCTTAAATGAATTGGGGGACATTTATAAACCCCCATTTAAAAAATTTAACAGTGTACGGGGTTTGATGATGAGCGTCTGGTTCTGGGGGGGAGATCAGGAATTCACGTTCATCTTCTCCAGGTATTTCATCAACCAGACCTTCGTGTTGACGATGAGGTAGTACATTGGCTTGGGATCGCGACTGGGTCACATTGTCGGGGTGTTGGATCTCGTGGACCACTCGCTCGATCAGTGATAGGACGTACACTGCAAGGACTGCGCCGAAGGAGCACCACGTTTCGACGGTGGTCGGATTCATCCTGATGGTCCTGATGAGGAAGAACTTCATGCAGGCGACTTCTTGAGACCTTTGCGCTTGCCTTGATGTAGCTCAGCTGGCCAGACGCGACGCCAGACCTTGACCAGGTCCATAGCTGCGAAGGTCCGTAGAGGCTGCTTGACGGTGGTGTTTGCCAGCTTGGAAAGCACATGCTTCGCCCTTGTCGCACGAGCTACATCTTCGGCTTGTTGGCGAGCTTGGACCATCTGCTCGAACTCTCGATATGGGCTGCCTTCCGGCAAAGTGGCGAAGGTACAAATGTCCTCGTCTGTAGCCGCGAGTGTGCTGCGTGGAGTTGGCTCTGGAGACCCGGTCCTGATGGCGGTGGCGGTCATCTTGATGTCTTGCACGACTGCTTCGACAATCATGAGCCCAACTCTCTTTTTCAGGAGGATAGGACAGCTGCGCACCAATGTTCTTGCAGAAGTCCTGCATGGTCTGAGAGGTCATGGTCTTGCCGCAGTCCGGAATCAGCGCCACGGGCTTGGGCTTGTCGCTGAGCGCCGCCAAATTGCAAGCGGTCTGCCCTCTCACGAACTACAACTTCCTGAAGATGAAAGCAGAAAATTCCGAAACGCTCATCAAGGCCTTTGCCGAAAGGTGGCCAAGTCGAAAAAACACAGCAAACTTGATTTTGCGGGCTCTCCTGAAATGTCCCGCTCGGCGGTGTCCAGGCCAACTGCTTGCCATGCCTGGTAAAGAGGGTACGTCTGCACTGTAGTTGCGGGCCATCTCAACCTTCCACTCGTTGTGACCAGCGTCTTGGAGAAGACGGACCAGGTTGCGGTTGGTGGGACCTTCTGCCTTGTGGAACAGCCTTTTATTGGTGCAGGGTGAGCAAGCTGGTCCGGCTGGTGCTGGAGGTGCAGGTGGTTCTGAAAATGGTAAAACGGTGATGGTAGTGCATGAAGTTCGTGGGGATGTGCTGGTAGAGCTTGAGATTCACTGGGATGAGCGGGTGGTTCTGGCTCGTGATCCTCAACCAGTTACAGTTGTGAGGGACATGATCAGCGCAGCGGCATGCGTCACAGCATTACTGTACTGTAATTAGATGAGGATGCACAGGGGACAAAAATCCGAGAACGGATGGGCGATGGCCGCATAGATGTATGCGGGGCAGCGTACATCTTTTTGGGACAGTCGCTCATCACGAAGACGTCCAGGTCTCCTTGCGAGAGGTCAAAGTAGTTGATGTCCATCACAGAACAAGCCAGGGCAGTGTGGAGCGTGACGGTCATGGCCATGAGGCGCTGGGTTTGGCCGGCTGCTATAGAGCTTTCGGAGGCGAATTCATGGTCTTCGCGGTGGTCCAGAAGCTCGACCTTGGACAGGTGATAGCCCTTGTGGTGCTTGGATAGGATCACCTCGAGGCGGTTTGTGCAGCATTGCCTTCATGATGGTTTGGGTGGGCTTCGCCCCATCCATGCGTAGTTGAAGAGCCACCACGTGTGGGAGACAACTGGACCAAGCGCTCTGTCAAGAAGGATGAGTGTCGCCATGCTGGTACTGACCTGATCCTCACCAAGGACCTCGACATTAACAACTCCATCGTGGTCAATCAGCAGTACTACATCGACACCTTTCCGGGTGCGACGATCGTTCCTGAACGCCTTCAGCAACCTGAACTGCAGCTCACTGACGGTGAAGTAGCCACCTGTCGCAGTGTTCTTGGCGCACTTCAATGGCTAGCTGTTCAGACTCAGCCACAGCTGGTGGCTTCACGGCGGGCGACCCGCGGTATGGCCTTGGTTGGTGAAGTTCGCCGTGACCCTCAACGCCTCAAATTCTTCAAGCTCCCCGGTGTCAACCACTGGCAGGATGTGGCCTTCATCACCATGGGCAACCAGGCTCAAAACAACGCCCAAAACATGTTTCCGGCGGCATGATTACGGCTGCCAGACCCATCACTGTGTCAGGCGCCCCAACCAAGATGCGCATGCTCACGTGGCGCAGCTGGAAGCTCAAAGCGCGAGGCGCTGAAGTTCAAGCTCTGGTGGGGTCCGAGGGCGCCAACTTCAAGGTGAGGCTTCTGTGGTGTGAGCTCCACGGCATGCTCATCACGCAGGACCGGGACTCCGACAAGGTTGAAAAGGGTGAGGCGATTGCTGCCACCGTGAAGGGCGTCGTCACAACCGACTCTAAGGGCGGCTATGATGCTGTCACCATGCGTGAGTCTCCAACCTTGGGACTCAGCAACATGAATGAGAGCAGGTTTGGGAGAGCCTCGAGAGAGTCAAAACCGAGCTCAAATGGACCGCCTCTGACTATGACCTCGGTGATGCACTGACGAAGAAGCCAGCATCTTGCAGAGCCGGTTTGCCCCAGTTCCTCCGCTCCAACATTTGGGCCAGCACCTTTGACCCTCTGTTCCGGAGCGCCAAGAAGAATGCCAAGGAAGGACAATCAGCCATTCGTCGGCTTCGACAAGCTGCCACATCTGAGCCCAGCCCTGTACAGCGGCCATCAACTGAAGAAGGATGGTGCGGATGCAACTTGTGCACCAGTCAGTTGATGCTGCCTCTTTTGTGACATGTGGCCCGAATCAGGGGCCGCTTGTGATGCCTTGAGAGCCGTGCGATGGCTCGCGACCTTTGATCTCGGCGTGACAGCACGCCTGGTGGAAAAGATCAGCGCAGGTTGGGAAGTCAGGTCGCAGAATCCTTTGATGGCACATGGCCGCCTGCACGGCACACGCCCCACACACCTGCAGCTCCGCCAGCTCAGCCTCGCAGCGCTGAAGCCGGCGCTGTGCCTCACAGCAGTTCGCGCAGGCCTCACAACTCGACTCACCAAAGCTCAATCTCCGGTGACATATGTCCCAACTGGAATTCAGAACGATTCAAAATTGCATGTGCAAAGTGAGAAATCCATTCCCGATTTGCCTCCCTGGGCGTTGGTGGAGCCAGCGGAGCCAGCGCCCCCCTGGGCGTTGGCGGAGCCAGTGACACCTGCCACGGCATGGATGCGCCGGTCGCGCAAGACCAACAAAAAAGCAATGCCTCGCCTGCCGATCTTGCAACTGTCGCTCCAGGTCCTTGGCCACCCAAAGAGAGTCGTGAGGCAAAAGTCTGTGCCCGGCCCGACTTTCGAGACTCCGGCCTCGCAGTGCTGCTTCAGCCGCCCCAGCTCGCCCTCACTGGACAGCTGCCTGGACGCACATCCGCCAAAGTGCCAAAGTGACGGCACGAAATGGGCAAGGCATCGGTTGACAAGGAACTCGTTAGCAGCAGCCAGGGAGACCCGCAAATCACCAAAGGCGCGCTGCAGCTGGAGGCATTCCTGGGGAGGCAACACTTCAGACCGAGCTCCTTTTTCCTGGGAAACCAAAAACACGCCGAACCCCGCGTTGAAAAAGCGCGCAGCAAGCAGCTGGCCCAGCCGCAGCAAATCGACCTCAGGGGCCAAGAGATCCTATCGAATGCCTCAGGCAGATGGCGAAGACGCAAAGATGGCCTCTTGGCTGGGGCACAACTCGATGAGTCTGTCGGGCGCCACCGCGGTGAAGCTTTGCACCAAGGGCGCCACCTGCCAAAGAGGACCCGTCGCAAAGAAACTGCATGGCAAACCTTGGCTCGACCTCAGCTCGTGCGAGCTGAAATCCAGCCTTCTGCAGAGGCGCAAAGCTCAAAGACTCTGGCGACTTTAAAGTCTGCAGCAGCGCATCCATGGCGCTAATTCGGCGAATTCGCGACTCATTGCCTTGTTTGATTCAAAGGCGTCTTGCCCACGCCAACGCAAACACAGCCTGTGCTGAACAAACGCGCAAACGCAATCTATAATGGTGAACTGCTTTAGATGCAACTGGTCACACTTCTGAGGCATGGCATCGATGCGGTCGCATTTGAGGCTTGTTCACAACTGAGGTAAGGGAAAGTGGCAAATGTCATATCGGTGACTCAACTCGCCATTTAGCAACTTTGCCAGTCCAAGCCGCTGCGCGGCAAGCCCAGTTGCCACATCTCTCTGCTGGCTAATGCAAGCTCCATGGCTGTTTCGTGTCTAGGAGCGAGCTTCGGCTCAATAAAACTCATGTCCATCGAAATGTCCAGGCTGTGCGGGGTGCGGGTGTCAGATCAAGGCAACTTTGCGGCAATGACTTGAGAGTCTTAGAAAAAATGGCCAAGCCATGCCGTGGACCGCACTTGTGCCCTGTCGAGACACCAAGCTCCTCCAATGAGATGTCACGTGGCCGGCACAGCTGGCACTGGGCGCTCAGATCAGCCAACAGCATCGATGTTGTCCTGCCAACTAGGAGCTCAACTCTGCTTGGCTCAGCTTCAGGCTCCCATCCGAATGATCTGACTGAGTGCCGCACCATGATGTGGTCCTTGGATGCACATGCTTTTGTTTGACAAGTGAGCAAAGCAGGGATCAGGAGACTGTCTGGATCAAATCTGGTCCCACACAAGGAGCTCGATAAGAAAACGGGTTTGAAGAGATCGTTGCAAATAGGAATTGCGGAGCAGGTATAGTTTGCTGACATGTGTTGATTGTTTATGCACATAATTGATGACGTTGAGTTGAAGATGTTTGGTTGAAATTGTGTATGTACATGATTCATCAGGTGCATTCTGACATGCGAACATGGAAGGTCTCTGGACACGCTTTCTTGCGACAGTACCGACCCTTTTTGCAGCGGGGCTCGGAGATGGCGGCCACGGAAGGGTCGAAGATCAGCGTGAAGGGCATGTCGACGCCCGGGAGCTGAGAGAAACATCGTTAAACAGCTTGAGCTTTAGCTTCATCTCTTTACCTGCAACATTCTCTAAACAAAAACAATCCTCCTCCCCAAAAAAAACAGAAAGCTGCGGTTTGCTTTACCTTGTTTCCATAGGCTTTGGCTGCATATGGGCCGACCAGTGCCTCTTCGCTGAGCATGTTCCGGAGACCGACGGCCGTGCGGCTGGTCACGCCTACCTGGCCGATACACGAAGCTGACCCATTCCTCCCTGGTGGCCTCTTCTTACTGCCATGTTGGCGTTCTTGACGCTCTGAGCAACTCACATATGCTCGGCCTGCATGAGCGGCTGGTCAAGCTCAATTGCCTCGCTGTCGTCCAGGTCGGCCGTGAACCTCACTGGAGAAGCCAAGTTTGTTCGTGGACACAATTCGTACCTATCATCACATCCTGAACATGCATCATACACCAAGCAAAAAGTAATAATTCCTGACGGACACGTCGGACGCATTTCCAATGCTGAATCCCTTGAGGAGATTCCTGGGGAGGCAACACTTCAGACCGAGCTCCTTTTTCCTGGGAAACCAAAAACACGCCGAACCCCGCGTTGAAAAAGCGCGCAGCAAGCAGCTGGCCCAGGCGCAGCAAATCGACCTCAGGGGCCAAGAGATCCTATCGAATGCCTCAGGCAGATGGCGAAGACGCAAAGATGGCCTCTTGGCTGGGGCACAACTCGATGAGTCTGTCGGGCGCCACCGCGGTGAAGCTTTGCACCAAGGGCGCCACCTGCCAAAGAGGACCCGTCGCAAAGAAACTGATGGCAAACCTTGGCTCGACCTCAGCTCGTGCGAGCTGAAATCCAGCCTTCTGCAGAGGCGCAAAGCTCAAAGACTCTGGCGACTTTAAAGTCTGCAGCAGCGCATCCATGGCGCTAATTCGGTCAAAGGCGTCTTGCCCACGCCAACGCAAACACAGCCTGTGCTGAACAAACGCGCAAACGCAATCTATAATGGTGAACTGCTTTGGATGCAACTGGTCACACTTCTGAGGCATGTCATCGATGCGGTCGCATTTGAGGCTTATGCACAACTGAGGTAAGGGAAATTGGCAAATGTCATATCGGTGACTCAACCACTCGCCATTTAGCAACTTTGCCAGTCCAAGCCGCTGTGCGGCAAGCACAGTTGCCACATCTCTCTGCTGGCTAATGCAAGCTTCATGGCTGTTTCGTGTCTAGGAGCGAGCTTCGGCTCAATAAAACTCATGTCCATCGAAATGTCCAGGCTGTGCGGGGTGCGGGTGTCAGATCAAGGCAACTTTGCGGCAATGACTTGAGAGTCTTAGAAAAAATGGCCAAGCCACGCCGTGGACCGCACTTGTGCCCTGTCGAGACACCAAGCTCCTCCAATGAGATGTCACGTGGCCGGCACAGCTGGCACTGGGCGCTCAGATCAGCCAACAGCATCGATGTTGTCCTGCCAACTTGGAGCTCAACTCTGCTTGGCTCAGCTTCAGGCTCCCATCCGAATGATCTGACTGAGTGCCGCACCATGATGTGGTCCTTGGATGCACATGCTTTTGCTTGACAAGTGAGCAAAGCAGGGATCAGGAGACTGTCTGGATCAAATCTGGTCCCACACAAGGAGCTCGATAAGAAAACGGGTTTGAAGAGATCGTTGCAAATAGGAATTGCGGAGCAGGTATAGTTTGCTGACATGTGTTGATTGTTTATGCACATAATTGATGATGTTGAGTTGAAGATGTTTGGTTGAAATTGTGTATGTACATGATTCATCAGGTGCATTCTGACATGCGAACATGGAAGGTCTCTGGACACGCTTTCTTGCGACAGTACCGACCCTTTTGCAGCGGGGCTCGGAGATGGCGGCCACGGAAGGGTAGTCGAAGATCAGCGTGAAGGGCATGTCGACGCCCGGGAGCTGAGAGAAACATCGTTAAACAGCTTGAGCTTTAGCTTCATCTCTTTACCTGCAACATTCTCTAAACAAAAACAATCCTCCTCCCGAAAAAAACAGAAAGCTGCGGTTTGCTTTACCTTGTTTCCATAGGCTTTGGCTGCATATGGGCCGACCAGTGCCTCTTCGCTGAGCATGTTCCGGAGACCGACGGCTGTGCGGCTGGTCACGCCTACCTGGCCGATACACGAAGCTGACCCATTCCTCCCTGGTGGCCTCTTCTTACTGCCATGTTGGCGTTCTTGACGCTCTGAGCAACTCACATATGCTCGGCCTGCATGAGCGGCTGGTCAAGCTCAATTGCCTCGCTGTCGTCCAGGTCGGCCGTGAACCTCACTGGAGAAGCCAAGTTTGTTCGTGGACACAATTCGTACCTATCATCACATCCTGAACATGCATCATACACCACGCAAAAAGTAATAATTCCTGACGGACACGTCGGACGCATTTCCAATGCTGAATCCCTTGAGGAGGCCTCACGATCTCCTCCACTCTCTTGCGGACTGTGTCGGTACCTCTGCTACACACATCTGGACACTTTGCAAGGCTGTTAAATTTCACTGCCGAGGAATGTGAAGCCAATGGTCTCCAAAAAAAACTTGCACAAGTGACGCGCGCAGGACCCTCCAAGTGCACTGAACCCACAAACAGCACCCCGCGCAAACCGAGGCTCTGGCTTACTTGGGCCATGTCCAACCTTGGCCCAACCACATGGCAGAAGACTTGACGCTCTCACCTCCACCGGCACCTCCTCCTCCCATCATCACAATCATAGCCTAGTTATAGTTCGGTTGGGGCCTCACAGGAGCACGTGGTTTCGGTCTCACCGGCACACGTGGACACTCCAGCCGTTTCTGGTCTCACAGGAGCATGTGGTCGCTCAAAGTACTGCGCCTGCCACGAAATCCAGCCCCAAATCTGCGCTCTCGCAGGCTGCTTCACAAGCGTGTGCGTGCTAATTGAGCGCGCGGGCGCAGCTTTTCAAGCGTCGGAGCACGCAGCGGCTCGGGTCTCACAGGAGCACGTGAGCGCTCCAAACCACTCAAAATAGCGTGCCTGCTACGAAATCCAACTCCAAAACCCAGGCTTCAACTGCATTCACGCAGGTCGCTTCACAAGCATGCGCGTGCTAGTTTTGCGCGCGGGCGCAGCTTTTCAAGCGTCGGAGCACGCAGCGGCTCGGGTCTCACAGGAGCACGTGAGCGCTCCAAACCACTCAAAAAACCGTGCCTGCTACGAAATTCAGCTCCAAAACCCAGGCTTCAACTGCATTCACGCAGGTCGCTTCACAAGCATGCGCGTGCTAGTTTTGCGCGCGGGCGCAGCTTTTCAAGCGTCGGAGCACGCAGCGGCTCGGGTCTCACAGGAGCACGTGAGCGCTCCAAACCACTCAAAAAAGCGCGCCTGCCACGAAATCCAGCTGCAAAACCCACGCGGAACCTGGCTTCAACCGCACTCTTGCAGGTCGCTTCACAAGCATGCGCGCGCCAATTTAGCGCGCGGGCGCAGCTCTTGGAGCGTCGGCGCACGCAGCGGCTCGGGTTTCACATGACCACGTGAGCGCTCCAAGTCACTCAAAAAAAGCGCAGCCTGCCACGAAATCCAGTTCCAGGAAGGACCTGGCTTCCATGGGGCCGGGGGGGAGGGGGTTGGAGAGGGGGGGGGGGATGGTAAGCACACCCGCTCAAGTGCGCCCGCTCAGCACTGCATCCACGCACGCGACAGAGGAAGCGCACCTGCTCAAGCGCACCCGCTCTGCATCCGCACGCGGGGAGGGGTGGGGGGGGGGGGTGGGGCGGGGCGGGTATCCCAGAAGGGAACTGGTAGTCTGTGGCAGTAGAGGTCGTTGTGTTGGTCCTTGGATCTATTCCGGAGAGGATCCAATATGCCACTGTGGATGATTGGAGGATGGATTGTCCCTGGTGGATTGTCTTGTGGATAATCCTGTAAGCGGCCTGCTAAGGTTCTTTTGCTTCATGCGATCATGAATGATGCAATGTTACACAAAAGGGGCCTTGAGCCAAATGTTGCAGGAGATCAAGTGTTCCGTGAACCAAACACAAAACAGACACACAAATTTCTTGTGATCTCCAGCACTAAGTATGAAATACTATTGGCTTCATGGCCTTTGGCCGTAGCCTTGATGTATGCCGTAGCCATGCTGTATGCCGTAGCCATGTGTATTAAAAATGTCGGATTCATCCTCTTTTCTGCTCGGATGAAATGTCTTGGCTTTCGAAATGGAAAACACTATGTGCTGCTTCTTTTTGAGATACCTAGATGTATCAAAAGGTGATGTGCAACGCTATGTACACGCGGGACGATTGTGAAACTATTGATCTCTCACTCATTGTATAGTCTTGTAGACGGCGAGGATCAATCATCTGAATTGAGTTCGTGGTGCTGAACGTGTGAATCTTCATGGTCAGTCGGATCGACGATACCATCGGCGGCTGCTGTCGGATTGACTGCCATAGTCTCCATAATCATTCCAGGTCGAGTTGCTATAGTCCTTCCACTGTTTCTGATATCCCCACTGCTTGTTGTAGTCCTTGTACTCCTGCGGGGCCCAGGCTTGTTTCTTCTTGATGTACTCCTGGTATCTCTTAGAGTTGCGTTGCCTGGTTGCAGATTTGCTGCGGATGTAAACCATGAGGGGACTGTGAGAGTCGGAGCCCTGCGAGCCGTTCATGAACATGTCATTGTTCACGCGCTTAAAGCGCTCTGCGGATGAGACCTGGTAACGCATCTGGGAATGTTCGATCATATCCTGACCCACACTTCATGTACAGGTGATGACGGACAATGGATTTTATGGTGCACGAAGTCTCCATTGCATACTCCATTCTGTCCACGAGTGGCAAATCTTTCGTTTCATTCCACAGTCTCTGATATGCTCTCATGAGGATGTTCACGAGACCGTTGGCCGAATTGAAGACGTGCTGGAATTTGCTGTAGGTGTTCGCTGATTTGTTGGCGTCTCCGGTGATCGCATCGCATCGGTACAAAGTCACGAGCCATGATTTCATTCTGAAGATCTTCTCTTGCTGCTCCGTGGCAAATTGAAGGATGGATGTGGAAAACTCCAATGGTAGCGAATGGGAGATCTGCCCTCGTTATGTGGCGGTCGTCATACTCGTGGAGTTGACTTGTTGGATGATTTCGGGATCATGCCACGAAACTCATCACTCTGCTCGATATGGAGAACGACGATCTCCTTGTCTCGGCCATGTCCTTGGACAATGGTGCGTGTTGGCAATCTCGGTCCAATGTACTTCTTGGATTCAGTAAACATGGATGGTCCTGTGGTTGCCAAGCAATCCGAGGTCGGAATTTCGTATTCGGGATCAGTGCAACTTCCTTCGGTTCTGAACATTCCGAATGTGGTTCCCCAATTCTGGCTCTTGGTGGAAATGTGTCTTGCCAGAAGTTCCACTCTTGCAGAAGGTCCGCCACGGACAAAGCATGCGATCGGTCTGGATGACCATTGCTTGATCACGATGCCCTTGTACCCGAATCGGATGAACGTCTTGATGAGCTCCCTGGATTTTTCATCATTAGGACTGAAGAATGCGTCTGCTTCATTCAGGCATAAGATGCGCGCACTGTTCTGCATCATCATCTTCACGATCGGTCGATCCTTCATCGGCATGTTGTACACCTCCCTGTTGTCCAGCTTTGGATTCCTCGTGAAGTTTCCATGGTTCAGGGTAAGCATGTTGATCGCTATGGATGAGGTGAACTCATGCATCTTGAGATAGTCCACATCAGCGATCCCAGGATATCGGCATGGGCTCGGATGATTTCCGGGTCATCATGTGACCTGAGCTTCTTCAATCCAAGCGGAAGCTTAATCGGATATCCGGACCCTGGTTGAGCTTGCTTGTACTCGTCCATAGTGGGACATTCTCCTCGATGAGGGAAGTAGAACTGTTCTTCTCCGAGATTGAGCTCTTCTTGGATCTTTGTTGAACTTGTTCATGAAGCGGGAGAGGTTTGCCTTGGTCTCCGCGAGCTCTTCCTCTGCGTCCTTTTTGTTCAACTCTGTTTCGAGATAGATTCCCTTGAGTTCTTGGATGAACTCGTCTAGGTTCTCTGAATTGTGATATTCCACGATGACTTTTGGCTTGACGAATCTTTCCCCGGAGGGTTCCATCGTCTCTTCTTCGGCTTCGTCCTGATCGGTGGAACGCCGTCTCTTCTTGGTCTCTGAGGAAGTATCTTTTTCCTTGCTGTGCTTTGTGGAATTCACATAATTGAAGAAGGCATCGGCAAATTCGCGGATCTTGGTGTCGTACATCTCGTAATCTTCATAACTGAGATGCTTCTTCATGATCCACTTGTTGCTCGCCATGAGGCTGCCATCAGGTTCAATTGCTGCAACAATGTTTCTTGCCTCGATGGTTTTGTCTGTCAACGCTGTTCGCTCTTCGGAGAGTCGGATGCCATAGTCTTGGTCCTTGAGGAATGCAAGGATCAACAGTGCATCTCTTCCTGCTGGCACATGGGTCAATGCGGCTTCTGACTCATCGTCGTCAAGGATGACGTCATCGATGCATGCCATGTGGACGTGCGTTCTCCCCGAAGGGTTTGACTGGGATTTCCCAGATTTTAGCCCGTGCTCCATGATGCTGAAGAGCTGATTTCCATAGGTTGCATGGAACATGAATGTAATGGGCTTCTTCGCGAACGGCTTGATTTTTCTCTCTTCTTCAATAGATGGTGGTGCCGGCCTTCGCATTCTATGCTTGGGCTGAGCTGTGCTTTCATCTTCATGAGGCGCCTCGGATCTTGACGGATGCGGACTTGGCGGAATGGATTCCGTTGGGAGATCATAGTCCGGTTCGTCGTGTTGAGGCTCTTTCTGCTGCTCAGAGTACAGGGGTCGTCCAAAGGATTGGATCTCGACTTGTCGTGTGTGTCCGCTGTTGCATCTCACGTAGAACTCCATCTCTGGATCGACATAGAATTCCTTGCCATCGGGCCTGAGTGCATTTTGTGCGGATCTTGTGGTGAGCTTGTCGATCCATCGATTCCTTGGAACAATTTCTCCCCGTGCCTTGCACTCCTTATATGGCCCGTCCACGGATGGAAATACGAATGCGATTTCGAAACGTGATTTTCCATAGCTCGGGAACATAGCCATCAAGAGAAGTCCTGGCTTATTTCCAATGAAGTTCCTGGCATGTGTGATGCAGGTCAATGCGTCATAGAGCTCGACGGGTCTATCAGGACCCATGTCCACTTGTCGTCTGCATTTCTTGTGGATTCCATGCCTTGGATCATGTCGAAGACATCCGGGAAATGATCTGCTCATTCTCTCAATTCGCCAAAGGATGAGATCTGTGATCTGTTTCGCCTTGGATGGATCCATGCGGAAGTATTTGCAAACCTGTTCGACATTCTGGACGGTCTTCTCGAGATCAATGTTGCCGTTGTGGCATACCATCGGGATGATGTCGGTTCCGTAAACTTCGGATTGAGCATTGGTGTAGCAGCAGATGCTGTAGACCTTCTTGATGAAGTCCATGTATTGCTTCTCCGTATGATTTCCTTCACCTTGGAGTGTTGGCTGCCAGTAATCGTTGAATCTGGCCTTCAACCAGAATACCTTAACTCCATGTGGTCTTTCATGCTCAGGAACGAAGTGGAAATCCGGATTGACATCGAGGATGGTTGAGCATTCCTTGTAGTACT